TCAGGTTCCAGCAATACCACATTACAAGTTATTAGCTACAGCAGTTGAGATTGTTTCAACAGTTCTTGCACTCGAACCCTCAGAGGTAAGCTTCTCTCTCTTGCCCTTTGGTAGTTCATTAAGATGAGTGGGGAAAAGGCTCACTGACTAGAGGAACAGAATAACAGAGTTGGAAGGGATCTTGGAGGTCTTCTAGTCCCAAGCCCACTCAAGCAGGAGACCCTATAACATTTCAGACTTGGGGGGGGGGAATTCATTAGGACAAACAGCTTTGGTGAAGTAGTTATATGAAAACATCACTGTTTTGGAATACTTCAGGCAGATAAAAGTATGGGTAGTCTTCGACTTACAACAGTTTGCTTAGTGATCGCTCAAAGTTACAGTGACTTATGATCAATTTTCACACTTATAAGCATTTCCATGGTCACATGATTAAAATACAGACGCTTGGCAACTGACACATATTTATGACGGCTGCAGTGTCCTGGGGATCATGTGATCACCTTTTGTGACCTTCAGAAAAGCAAAGTCAATGGAGAAACCCAGATTCCCTTAACCGTGTTATTACATTAACAACTGCAGTGATTCACTTAACAACTGTGGCAAGAAAGGTCATAAAATGGGGCAAAATTCACTTAACAACTGTCTCATTTAGCAACAAAAATTTTTAGTTCAGTTTCTGAACTACCTAAAGTATTTTAAAGTTCATAAAATAATTTGGCTTGAGATTCACATGTGATGGCAGCAGTTAGACCATTATCAAACCTGGCATAGATTTGGCACAGATTAGAGGCTTACTGAATCTCACCATGTTATTCCCTGCTTTGATGTTCAAAAGATAACATATAGCCGTAGGGATACCAAGGACCTTCCAAGGAAGGTTTGAATTATGCGTTGTCCCTTCTGTGATCAAATTTCACAGAACTAAGTAAGCTGCAGAATGGATCATTCTGTGGCACCTGAGATACCCTCCCAAACATTTCAGGATTATAGCCGAAATAAACAAAGTAAGTAGAGAGTACTATTGGCAAGCTAAATCATAGGGGACCTAGGAAGCTTCTCTGTTGTGCACCTCTTCTCTGGAACAGCATTCCCACCAGGGATGGAGGAACCCCTTTCTCCTGAAATGTTAAAAGGCCCTTAAAATCTAGCTTTGATCCTAGGCTTGGTGTTAATGTGTTGGGTGGTGCCTTGTGCTGCATTTTAAAGATTGTTTTTAGCCTGAGCTGACTTGTTTTATTTTATGTTTTTAACTGTTTAAATTTAGTATTATATTTTGTAAGTCACCCAGAGTTGACATGAATGGGTGTCTATAAAGGTAATCCTTGACCTATGGCTGTTTGCAGCATCCCATGGTCACGTGATTACAGCTTATGACGTTTTGCTGAAAACAGGCACTTACTTTCAGCAAAACCGGCCCACAGTGAACAATTGGTTTGCTCAGTGACTGTGGTGTTCACTTAATGACTGAAGCAGTCGCTTATTGAGTTTGATGTTTGCTTACCAATCACTACAACAAAGGTTGTAAAAATCAGGTCAACCACACGAGTGACTCATTCTATGAACATCATGGGCAGTCTCCATTACAGTCGTAGGTCGAGGACTAAAGTATTAAATCTACTTTTATTATTAAGTTTCATCTCTTAGTCAGCCAGATGTTTAGACTGGATTTGGCCTTTTAGGTACCCATTGAGTCCTTCCCAAGGACCTGAGACATACAAATGTTGTTTGGTGTTGTTATTATTACTAGAGATGGGTAACTGCCTCTGAGTGGATTTTCCTCTCTTAAAATTTTACTTATGCTCATTCAGGAAATACGCTGTTCTTTCTTTCAACATATTATATTTTCCTTTTCATATGACAGGTTTCAGAAATGGAGTTTGCCACAACAGTATACCAAAGTGTTTGTAAAACTGCTAGCGATTGGTTTCATTACCGTCTTCCAAAACCTTTGCTGGAAAAAAGATCAGTTACATTTTCTTGGAAAGAGGAACTTGAGGTTTGTGTTTTGGAATTGCAACTATATCTAGATTTTATCCAGAACGCTATAATTTGTAGTTTCCTTTTTCTTTTAACGGTAGTTCTAATTTTCTTTTCCTAGCCTTTTTTATATCAGTAATCCTTACTGAAAACTGTTTAATAAGTGAATTTTTGCAGTGTACATTGTGAAGTGAACCAGCATCTCTGTTGATCATCCTAGCCTATCGGAGGCATGTGACATGAGTTGCAATATTTTTCTCAGTTTTTTACAAGTCTGCAGAGTGTTACTTCAGAAAGATTAGAGGACAGAGAAAACATGAG